AATTTATACAGAATTATGTCTTTCCTATGTGTTTAGGATTTATATAGATGTGCCTGTGTGCCCTTAAGTTTACGGATCCTGATCACCCCCAGTGGAGCCATTGTTCTACCTTTAAGACAATAAGGGACTGTTCTAGACAGACAGTTATGGACACACACACCCAGACAAGTTTGTTGTGTCTCTCAAACAGTGAATCTCTGTGTGTGTGGCCTTCAAACAGCTTCATCTTGTGGCTCACAAGTAAAGTTAATAATTTATTGCAAGAATACTGAGTGTCTTTGAAGAGAAACATGTCTGTCAGATGGTAAAACTTTATAAGGAACCATTTGTTTACAGTGAGTGTATACTGTATGAACATTGCTGGTGATCACCTGGGTCTTCCTCTGAGCTGAAAGGCTGCATGGGTCTAAATAATGAAACAGGTGCCCCCAGTGAATGTGTGTTTGGGTGTGTGTATCGAGGGAATTGTACAGATTGTTGTGTGTATGCACCCCTTGGAATTAAAGACAAACACACACTCAAATTACAGTATGGGAGTAGATTATTTGAGGGCCCTTTCCGAAATGCAGGGATTAGCTTTAGGTTGAGAGAGAACATAATCCTTTAGTCACAGGCAGAAAGAGACAGACAGCAAGGGAGGACTTGTGATAATCAATATCAAATAAACCAAAATGGATCAATTCCACCTGCAGAGAACAATAATGCTGACATTTTACCATTTAAGCATGTGGCTGTGTTTAATCATAAGCATTAACCTGACATTTGAAATTAGGACAAGGGGATTTAAAAAATGTAAAATCTGATGAGGCTGAACCCAACACACATCTATTGAGGAGTGGGGGATAACCTAATTTGCACTTCTATTCATTCTGTGTTGATCATTTCCGCCCTACTAATCCGCCTGTTGTAAATATGTGTACTGTTCATTTTATGGGGACACTTTTGTCCTTCAATTGTTGATGCTTTTCCCACGAGTCTCTTTTTCCTCTCATATATCTTGCATTTTGTTTTCCACATTCCCTTTCATTTTATTCAACTATATTATCCTCCATCTCTACATCCCACACAGTGAAGGGTTTTACTTTCTCCACACACACACACACACACACACACACACACACCCATCAGTTTAAATCTAGGCAGGGATCCGGCCTCACCACTCTTCTTGATTCAATCTATTGTAACTCAATTCACAGTGAATTACATTCACATGAGCTCAACACTCACATAACTGACCCAAATGGTGAAGCTCTTCAAGCGTGTATGAATGTGTGTGTGTGTATTTGTGTGTGTGTGTGTGTGTGTGTCTATGTTTTAAATGTATGTGTCATAGGTTTAAAAATAACTCCTTTGTAAATGTTCAGAGATTGTGCTGCCCTCTTCCAACAGGATGATAGAATAAATATATTACTCATTTGTCCCATTACCTAAGACTCTGAGCATCCGAGTGTGAGTGTTGTTTGATGATTTTCTGCTCAAACTCAGTATCAGCTGGACTTTCCCTGTGGAATGTGGAGGTTGTTCTGCACTGCAACAATGGAGCTGAAGGATTGTTTTACTTCATCAATGAAACTGTTACTTGTTAATTCTATGAAATGTCAGAAGGAGCTTTTTTTCTTTCAACCAATGATCCAAATCCACAAACATATTTAATTCATAAAATAAAAACAGTGAAAATCACCTGATCCACACATATGGGAAGCTGAAACCAAAAAATGTTCCCATGTCAGATTCATGTAAACGTCGACACACTTCTTCCTAAGTTTCCTCACTTACATCAAGACAATCTTAAAATATAACATATTCACACAACATTTTAATTGATCGAATCGTTTTTTGATAGTTACTATAGATACTGACGCTAATCAGTCTTATGTGTTGAGATTTAAACTTGCTGCATTACTCAGAGGTTGAACAAGTTGACTGAACATCCCTCAAAGGTTGACCCACTGTTATTTAACAAATGCAAGACTAAACTGGAATTGAGTCCTCTTTCTGCTCCTGATGATAGTCCCAGTGTAAAAGTAAACACTAAATACAGTAACACTTCAAAAACTATATGTGCCTCAGGGTTTTCTTACTCTAATACACAATAAAACACAAATACATGTTTCGAATGTTTATGCATCTGACAGTTGTGATTTTTGTTTCACATCCTGGAGGAGTGTAAAGTACTAAGAGTACTCACACCAAACACTGTATTTTGCTCTGCATATATTGGAGAAAGAAGTTTTACAAGGATTTACTATTTGCTCCTGCATTTTTAAAGCCAATGCAGGTGAGGTGGCTGCAACACGAGCTGGATTATTAAACACAATCCTGTTTTTGAAATGCAAATGCAACAGGCTGAAGGAACACACGCATCTGAGTGGTTGCATCGAGCACTCACCGCCACAGAGCCACTCGAGGACGCGATGTAAACCTTGATGACCATTTTAATCCTGAATATATGTCATGCAGTTCCACAGCAATCTGACCGCAGGCAGCGACCTCCGTGTATTCCCTGGATTGAAGCTGGAGACTTTGAGAGAAGAGCCTGTGCATCAGATGAGAGGAAACACGCGTCTGCAACAGTTACACTGAATTATGATCGCGTAAAACAAGGCGCTCAGCTGCTGCAGCTCCAGACTGACGCTCACTGCACACACACACACACACACACACACACACACACACACACAAACACACACACACACACACACGCAAGCCTGGACTTCCGCTCGCTACGTTTCACAATAATAAACAACGTGCTGTCAACATGGCACTTCATTGTTCACATTCGAAAGCTTAGTCATGCAAATAATCAACAAATAGCTCGAGTCCAATTTTGATTTATTGTTTTTTTTTAAACATAAATTATATTAGCGTGCTTTTATTGTGAAAATAAGAAAGTGTATTATTACTGCCTAAAATATTTACTTGACACAGGTAAACTTTCAGGTGGGCGCACTAAGGTGAGCAGGGAAATGTAGTTCTTCTGTAGTTTCTGGTCAGATCACGTTGTTTCCAGTTGAATTCAATTTTTATTTGCAGCAAATCTCAGGAATTGAGAATTTATGCATTTGTTTGTGGTGTTGATTGTTTTGGAGAATTTTCAAATTTAACATAAATTATTGCAATTATATATAAACAAAAATCTGGCAATGTGATCCAGTGAGTGTTGATTGCTGTGCACATTTTGGTACAGATTTGGATCCAGATGGAGATTAAAATGCAGATTAAAATATTGACCTAATTTAGATGATATGCAGCAATGATGGAGGTCATGGTACAGATTGTGTTTAAATTTTGTCCATATCATCAATAGGTCCCACAAACCAAGGCCTGTACACATTTCTGTTGTAATCAAATACAGCATTAAGAACGTATTGAAAAGTATGAATTTCTTATCTAAACAAACATGTTGTCTGTATGCCAAAACCATAGACTGTATATAAAGGCCAAAACCATAAAAAGTCCTTTTTTTCTCCTTTTACTTTCAGTAAGAGAAATGACATGTATGTATTTGTCTGGGTCATTCGTTTAAGAAACAACAGCACATTCCAATATGCGTTGCACAGCAGAAGTAAGAGACCATATCGTCACTAACAAATAAGTGAGTAAATGTCTCTTAACATTAAACTTGAACACTAATCATTTTCTGGTGGGTCAGTTGGTAGCATAGTATTCCATTAATTTTCCACATATATATTTAAATCAAACTACAATATGTTAGACACGGCTAATTGTGAAACATTTTAAACCAAGTACACTGTAAAAAATTACAACTATTGATAAACATTCAAATTGATACAACTCAGAATCATTTTCATCTTTGATTTTGATTGTTTTCTTGTTTTATTTGATTGCCCATTTGTGTAAAGCACTGATAATAATAATAATAATAATAATAATAATAATAATAATAATAATAATAATAATAATAATAATAATAATAATAATAATAATAATAATAATAATAATAATAATAACTGCTATTTAGGATTACTTATTTTCTACGATGGAAACACAGAGAAGTGTTTGAAATTTTGTGCAGCCAAACTTGGACATAAAGAAATTTGGAAATTCTTTGAATATTTGTCAAAAACAAGCAGGGTTTACTAGACAAGGAATGTTAACAGTAAAGTGCACCGAACTAGTTCAATCCAAAGGACTGAGCTCTTCAAATCAAGAATCAAAAATCACTGTTGTGGCTCCTTAAAACGAATAACCCCCTTCTCTGTCCTCTAGAGGGCACTATTGTCCTTTCTGCTGTATCATGTCTCCTACACTTTCATTTGGATCTCTTTATATGCAGCCTATGATTTGGACCTGAAAAACATCTTGGAGCTTAAATTATGTTTATCATCAGAACCATAGCAACAGAACTTATATGTTCAATAAAATAACACTTGTTGTTGTGTTGTTCAAACATGGGATGTGGGCGTCTACCCCTTTTTCTGAGAAATGCACTAGAAAAGAGAGAGAGAGTGACATAAATGAACCCACCCACAGATATTTATGAGCAGCCTTTCATTGGACATGTAGGTTTAGCTGAAGTACCTAGATAAACATGCATCCACCATGCCTCCTGCCCTATTACTAAATAATATTATTAATAATAATAATAATAATAGTAAAATACACTACATGATAACTTTATAGTATCTATATTATTAGAATGTATTAGGCCTGTATATTGAAGTGTTGTATTGTACATATATATATATATATATATATATATATGTAAATAATAATGATATATATACTACATAATAACTTGATAGTATCTATAATATTATTAGAATGTATTAGGTCTATATATGGAATTGATTTACTGTACTTATACATATATATGTAACTTTTAATGATATTATAGATACTACATGATAACTTTAGGTATGTATAATAGTATTAGAAAGTATTAGTTCTATATATAGAAGCTGTGAATGTGGACCGCATTATAGCGCCCCTCTGGGGGTGTAGTGTAACTGCAGGGAGTACTGCGGTTGCCATGGTACGGCGTCAGTCGCTGGACTGAAGCAAAGCTACAGACGTGGAGCGCAAACAGACCAACAGGTTTCTGACCCACAGACTTCCTCCTGTTTCCCGGTGGATGTTTACAGGTCGGTGCGTTTTTAAAATGACAGCCACGAGCGTTCTCCTCCAAACGAGCGGAGACGTCTCCGCTTCTTATGTAACCGCAGCAGCGCTCGCTAAAGTCCATGCTAGTTAGCGTGCTAACAATCGAAGCTATCTAGCTAACATTAGCCAGGGGAGGCTAAAGTTGACCGGAAACCAGCAAACGCTAGAAATGTTTATTTGAACGTGAACGCGTTAACGTCGTTCAGCATGTCCTGAACCGTGAAGCTACAACCCACCCCACCTGTTGATGCTAGCTTTGTTGTTGCCATGCTTGTGATATCAAGTAGCTCACCTAGCACCGTTAGCTTTGTGGATACTTAACTGATGATGTTTGCTAACACTGACATGCTCCTGCAATCCTCTCCCAAAGTTTATTTTTTTCTGTTTTGTTTACATGCATCTGATCGTGCTGTATATGAGTAACGGGCCCGATGCTGCCTTCAGGTGCTGTTGTGTTGATGCTCTTATTTGACAGGCAGTCAACAATGGCAGAGCACCTGTCAACAGCACACGGCCTTCTTTAATCCAATCTGTCCGTGTCAAGTATAGCTGCCACTTCCGCTGAGGTAAGCCTCTGGTAACAAGCAGCTGTTTGTGCATTTGTTTTCGCCGCAGAGAGACTGAGAGGAGCCAACAGAACAGCAGCCTGGAGACGATCAAATATGGTTTAGAAGACAGAGGCGACTGGGGTGTGATGTATGTGGTGAGTTTCAACATCTATCATCCTTTTCTTCAGCTTCTGCTAGAGTTCCTAATGAGAATAAGATAAAAGTACTCATGATCTAATCATCAGTAGTGAGTTTTTATCATCTAAACTCAATTCGTCAATTCAATTAAATTCAAATCACAGATAATTTAAGAGAATATTAATCAAAATCTGAATGAATGATCTTTCTGAAGTATAGTGTGTGTATATATTCCCTGTGATTATACATTGGGTTTAAGAAATAGGTTTGTTTTCAGGTGTGCAACCTTTCTGCCCTACTTGACTTATAATGATGCTCTTGTCCATTTATGGTGATCCTGATGATGTGTGGGGTAGATGTTGCCATAGCTACTTGTCCATCAAGTGATTCTATTATTGTAGAGTTGATGAAGGAGATAGATTAATGGATGACCTTTATGTACAGTTAACACAAACACTATGGAGCATACTCTCTCCCCAGTATAGGGTTGAATAATACATTTATTCTTTAAAATGAATGAGGTTATTTGATATCTTACATTAAAAAGTGACAATGTTTTTAGTGGCGATAAAATGTATATTTCAATTTTTTTTGAATTTTTTTGAATTTCCTTCGGGATTAATAAAGTATCTATCTATCTATCTATGTAGCACAGCTAACTGTAATGACAATCTGGCTGTTTAATAAGTCACCATGCAGACAGGGGCAGGCTGGTATTGCTTTCGTAGCAACGGTTGTGTGGAATAGTGATATAATACATCATTCAGCCTCATGGAAAATTCCACCTCATTTGTATTGTTGCTTAGTGACCAGGACACACAGTGAAGACAACCTGAGAGAAACCTACGGGCCGAACTTCTTATTCCAGTTAAAGAGGAATTTTGAGGATTTTCAGTTTAGTTATAAATGCTATATCATGTCATGTCACCAGTCAATTTTTCATTTAAATCATGTAAGGTGTAACACTTGCAAAAGTAGGCATTTGTTACTGTTAACTTGTAAGTCAGAAAATCCTAATATGACTCAATGTCTGATTTGTTTCTTTCCCACTTTTTGTGTTTAATTTGAACACTGCATTTTCCCTCAAAGTGACAACATGGAGCCTGATAATGCCAGTGACCAATATGAAAACAACCAGCAAGGAAGTCGCCAGTCCCACCGGAGTAGAAGTAAAGATTCCCGAGCATCATCCATCCAAAAACACAAAAGCAAATTCAAGGACAAGATCCAGGATAAGGATGAAAAAGATTCCTGTGCTGACGGTAGATCGAAAACTAGAACCTGGCGTTCAGATCCTGATCGAGACCAGGTATCAGATGGTGAGGGTTGGAGAAGTAGTGGGTCCTTTTACTCAGAGGACTATGAGAATGAGTCTCCTTCAGAGCGTTCGCTCTCACCTCATTCCCAATCCCGGACGCCATCCCCTACTGATCAGAAAGGGGTGCGTGCAAAGAGGATTTCAGTCAGCCCCTTCTACAAACCAGGTGTGTAAAGTGAGCAAGTGATCAAGTATGGATAACCAATAAATGAAACTTGAATGTATGTATGTATGAATCAGGACGTTTATTAGCAGTTTCTACTGCTTTACTTTTATATAATTTCTCCATCATGTGTATTTCTGTCTCATAGGTGGATTGGGGCGCAAGGGTATGTCCCGTCCACAGCGTTTAGGTCGCCAACCCCTGACGCAGCAGCATCGGAGGGGAGTGCGATCACAAAGCAACGAGTCCACAACTCCAAAAGACCTGGATCTTGTGACCAAGAGGATGCTTTCGGCCCGCCTGCTAAAGATCAATGAATTGCGCAACGCGCTTTCTGAGCTGCAGCAGCGCACTGATGAGCTGCAGAAAGAAAACCGAATTCTCAGACAGGTAGGCCTTATTCTCTAGTTTGGTTGGGATTGAGTGTATGAGACTCGGAATGGTATTTGGGTTTATTTCTTCAACACCTGTTGCATCCCATGATCAAAATGTCTTCTTTTCTATTCTGCAGCTGCAGTTTCGTCAAGAGAAAGCCCTGCAGCGTTATGATGACACAGAAAGCGAGATTTCCCAGTTGTTGTCACGCCACTCCAACGAGACCCACGTGCTGCGCGAACGAGTCAGACGCACTCAAGAGCGTGAACGCGCGGCTGAGCGGAGGCTGAAAGACAGCGAGGAGCAGCTGCAGAGAAGTCAGGCGACCATCATCCGGCTAAAGAAGCTGGTCGACCAGCGAGAGTTAGGAGCCAGGGACGAGCTGAGCCGCAAGCTGGAGGAAGAAAAGACAAGAGCCCAGGAGGCAGATCGCAAGATTAAGGTAAATGTAAAACCTGGTTATTTGTTGATATTCAATTCATAGAAATCTTCTATGAATTAAAGATTTTTCTTTGATACTCAATTTGTGAATAAGTTATGCACTTTATTGGCTGTTGACACAAAAACAACAACAATCATTTACACTTAATAACTTCTTATAAAGCAGCTGTGATAGAATTTAGAAAACAATCAATCATTTTTAATTTCTGAATACGAGCTCTCCCATGTCTTCTTGAGATGCAATTCAGAGTTTTGACAGATTTTTCGAATCTGTGTGTATTTGAAGGAGCTGGAGCGCAGCATGGAGCTGAGCAACAGCAGTTACCAGAGGCAGTTGGCTGCAGAGAGGAAGAAGACCATCAGTGCCCAGGAGGAGATCAGGACCCTGCAGGAGGAGCTGGAAAGACTGACCAATAAACTTAAGGTGCATATACACAGAAATGCACTTTAAATAATAGCTGAAACAAAATGTCTTATGATTGTGCATTAAAAGCAGGATGGCCCATGTATGAAATTTACATTTGGTTTATTTTTTTCTTATCAGGAGAAGGAGAGAGAGCTAGACACCAAGAACATTTATGCCAACCGCATGATGAAATCCTCACGTGGAACAGATGCTGACAGCTGCACAAAGCGGAAAGGTAACACTTGAAAATGAAGACCATTTCAAAGATTTTGTGTTGTTGTGCATTTTCATACATATGGACATTTGTATGTGATCTTCAGTTTGCTAATTGTTATTCTGTTTTTGGTGCTGGTTGGTTGTTCGGTGCTTATGAACAGCAATGTTTACCCTGATATATATTCTGCTTTTATTTCACATATAGTCCCCAGCAGGAACAGCAGTAAGGCAGTGCAGACTGAAGACAGGGTGTCCAGTCTGGGTTTCCCCACACCTCCCCCCGCCATCACTGATGTCAATGATTACAGTGAGCAGGGACCTGATGAATACCTATCACTCAAGGCAGAGTGTCTCCTCCTCACCTTTCTCACCATCCACATTTCATCTTTTGATGCAGCACACAGTCTGTCATTCACCTGTGGTAACTCTTTCTGTCAACAGGAGCTTGGTGGAGTGGACAGACAGGCGAAGACTGAAGACAGGAATCAAAACTGGGAACGACAGAAGATGAGTGACAAGGAAAAGGAAAGAGACAGGGAGAAAGACAAGCAGCAACTCAACCAGAAGATGAATGTGCATGAAGAGAAGGCGGCGAGATTAAGAGACGGTAAAGACAAGATACACACAGAACATGTACTTATTGTGTGAAAATAACTTTAATGTAAATTCAAAACCATCTGTGTTCACAGGCGGTGAGAAAGAATCTGAGGAAGACAGAAAGAAGACAAGTTCACTGTTGAACCTGAGGGAGAATGAGAACAACAGGAAGCGTGGTCATGTCCAGGAGGAGGTGGAGAGGTGGAATCAGGAGTCTCTGGGCAATCAGCAAGCAGCAGAGGAAGCACGTCAGAAAAAAGAGCAGCTGCTGGCCAAGATGCGCGATATAGATCGTCAAAACCAGGGTGGCCAGGACTCCATGTTTGCTGAGTCGAGTCTTTCGGAGTCCAACAAAAGTTCCAGTGACCATTCTTCTCCTCGTGCTCCTGAGCACAGGAACCACAACTCTTCGATTTTCAGCCTCACGGCACCAGAGGAGTTGGCCAGTTTGGGCGCTGGTGATGGAAGTGGAGTAGGTGGAAGGAGAATTGCAGGTATAGAGGGTGGAGCAGCGACAACAGGGGTAGGGAGGAGAGCACTACGCTCTCAAATCTCCAATGACAATTTGGCGTTCGGAAGCTACGCGCCTTCTTTCGGGCTCTCAACTTCCCGCGGATCTTTTGGTTTCCCTCCACCTCCATCCAGAGAGGACAGGGACTCTGCTTTAGAGGCAATAGGTGTTTTTAGTCTCAGAGGGGTGGAGACAGAAAAAGAGGACACAGAAAAAGGGACGGGCAAGGATAGAAAGTCCAGTCTCATGCAGCAGCTATTTGGAGCAATAGCCACACCCGCTGGTGACAGTGTGAGCTCCTCCAATAAAATGGGGGTCCTCAGTAGTCCTCCAACTACCAATGGGGTACATTCAAGAAGGGACAAACTGCACAGCTTCAACTCAGGGTCTTCCACTCCTCCTGCATCCTCTTTCAGCATCCTACATGTGGCCGATAGCAGACCTGCCATCCGTGCCATTCCCTCATTCGATGACGACATAGAGGAACTGACTTTATGAAAGTCATTTCGCCGGGTGGTAGTCAGTCACACAGTCGGCCGTCACGTCTGTCAGCCACACGTAGAAACGACACGGGGTGAAATTAAATGAGTACCATTATCAACAAAAAAACAAACATAGAAGGGAAGAAACTGCAAAGTATAAAAAGTACTATATGACTTTATAAATGATAATATATTTCAGCTTTTTATTTGTCTTAAAATTGTCATCATGTAGGAAATATGTAACTGAAAGTGGTGATACAGAAAATGTGTTTTCATTGTAGTTTTCAGACTTTTCTTTTATTTGTTATACAATTTGAAGACGTGTTTCTTTAGTTCAGATTTCCTGGCAGTTTATCTGAGAAACACAAAGTCAGCAGAGCCACACAGACACACAGACACACAGACACACACACACACACACACACACGATCCCTGCATCTTGTCCAATAAACACAAAGACCAAACACAAGAATTACAGACTCTGAAACTGGATAAAAATCGTCTCAATACGTTTCACATTTCAGCGCTTTGCCATATTTTGTTGTGCTCATATGTAATTAGAGATTTATTTATTTTTTGTGTGTACCTTTCTTTGACAAAATGTATTCCATGAACTTTTGGTCCTCTCTGAGACACAGTAATATACCATCAAGTGATATGACAATCATACTATATGTAGACTTCTTTCTGAAAATCTGACATTCACACAAAATGGGCTATTTTTGGAACTTCCCGCAAGTTTATCTCTGTTAATACAATTATTTCATTGATATTGCTTTCTTTTGGCCTATTTATAGGAGTGCCACTAAAAAAAACTGTTACATTTTGAATACCCTTAATTCCTGGTATCTTCCAAGGTCTCATGTCCCCTGCACTGATGACTCTGTTTTCATGGGTACACTGAGCCAACAATCAGGACAAATACAAACCACCAAGAGAAGCTACCATGCTCTATTTATATATCTGTTTATTTAGTATATAATGTTGTATTTATAAAATGAAGAGTCAACGTGTAAAATGTGTATTTTATTCAGATTTCTCAGTTTTGACACAGTTTTGAGGAGCAGTTTTGTTATTTAGTCATTTTCATGAGGGATACATGTAACCAATGAAAACTTTGTCCGTCACTTTTCGTATTCTGAATTTTTCATGTTTTCTACTTTCTGTCCAGTGGTATTAAATGTTTTAAATAACACTAAGTTCTTAAAATGTGTTGTATTGTTGTATGAATGAAAATAAATGATGGTTAAAAAGGGAAACTGCTTCCTGCTGCTTGTCAGACTGTGGTGGCGCACTTGCAGTGATATTCATGAGTCTTCATAGAGATTCCTGGGGCGTCTCCAAGCAACCACGACCTGACGCAAGCTCCATCTCCGCCCCTCCTCCCTCCTCCTCCTGCTCAAAAACAAGTGGACCGTGGAGCAGCACAGCCTGGGTTAGTCAGACTCAGAGCTGGAGATGATCTGCACTCATCCAGGGAGGCTGAGCACATGTTTCCACTGAGAGACTCTTCACAAGGTAAATGAGCCTTTACGCAGTTTGTGTTCCGTCTATTTCACATGGTGCAGGTTAGTTTTCTCACCTTGCAGCAGGAAAACCAGAGGAGGCTGAAGTGAATGTGGACTTGAGTATTACACTGTATGCCGAAGTATCACCACCCAATTTAAATGAGTAAATTCAGTCAAATTAAATAAGTAATTTTTTTATGAGTATGTGAGTATATTAAAAAGGACCAAATGTGCTGCATGAAATTATCCATTAATAAATAAACTTGGTCACAACTTTATGATGGGTAATTGTTATTATGAAAATATATAAAATGTGTCTTTTATTGCAGTTTTTTTGTTGTTATGACACAAGCATGGGTTATGTATATGACTTATTATTTATATAGGTTTAAATAACTTCACATAATCACATGGACGATTTATATATTAAATTAACTATTTATATAGCACTTTTCAAAACAAAGTTACAAAGTTCTGTACATAAAACAGCAAAACAATGAAAGACAGGAGAAAAAATAACAGTGAATAAAAACAACAGCGACAATTTTTTATTTAGACTGAAAACTAACTCATCATTATAAAATCACACAAAATGTATCTTTATTGCAGTTTTATTGTTTGCACACAAATATATATATATATATACAACATATATCAACGTATACTATCTCCTGATCCACTGCTGTTCCTTCAAAAATGAGCACACTTACAATTTCTGGTTGTGTTATACTAATAAAGTTTAAGAAATCAAATGAAGATAGAAAGAATTACGTTACCTGACACTTCTAGATACTGTATCATAGATAGGTCTGGTTTTGTGTTTTTTAATTTAAATTCATCCCTTCTTCTCTACAATCAGAAAAAAGTACCTGTTGATACAGATAGCCAACATGTTTTCTTCTCTCCCTCCCTCTGTTGTGGTTGGTTCAGCCCGTAAAGGTGGTACGCTGTGAACTAAACACTGTGTTATTAAGTTTCTGTTGCCATAATGCAGGAATCCAATATGCCACAGTAATTTGGTGTTTATATCTGTATGAATAGCTTTTGTGTTAATGTAGGCCATTCATCTCTTTGAGCTATAACCTCTGATCCTGCCAATGATTTCCATAGATAATGCTGATATTCTCTAATGTCTCTAAAGCCCCTGCAGATTGAAACTCAGCACTTCTGATTGGGAGTGTCTCACACGCAGGGTTATGTTATAGATTGTAGAGATACACAAACCAGATGCTGATCCGTTACTCTGCATTCATGTTTGTTATGCAGAGCACCAGGCTTCCCAAGCTCTTTGGCCAGACGAGGTTGTTTGGTGATTTTTATTTCCAACATGGCAAAAATAAATGTTATTGGTGCAGCACCTCTGCAACTGGATGTTCAATCTCTGCAGCTTTGAAACCAGTGTGTGGTTGATGCTCTAAGATTTGCATGCCAGCTTTTAGATATTTGGATAATGGGGATACATTTTCTTTTTCCTCCTTCAGTGTTTCTACTTGTCCCACGCTGCATTTGATATTCAGGAAGCAAATTTTTGCTCTGCTTGATGAAGATTTCCTGCTGGTCTATTCAAAGCAGTTGGGTTCAAGCAGCCACTTTTGAATAGACCTTAAACCCTTTATTCCTTCATAACTGTGACCATAAATCATGATGTAATATTTGCTTACACACACTTTCCCCACCTTTTTAATCCTCTGAGCCCTACCGTTCCATTTTTTCACAATTCAACTGACTTCCTTGCTGTACATGTATGATCTATACCGACTCTTTAAAAATGCATAGGGCATGGATTTTCCTTCTGGGTGTCCTGTAACAATGTGGTCTCTCACTGAGGATCCATCCCTGCGCGTTCATAAGTCAGCTACTCTGCACATTCAGAGGTCTATTTTGATTTTACCTTGCAAAAACAGCCAAAGCCTATCATTACATACAAGGGCAATGACTTCACTGCTGCTCTGCTGTACCCATTATGGAATAAGTGAGCACTAACCACTTATTGAGTGTTTGAGTTTGTAAGGAGAAGCTTGGCAGAGGGGCTGCTCTGTTGGCCTGTAAGTGTGTGTTTGCTCGATCATTTAAAAGGCTGCATTAAAGATTTAGCGCAGCTCCTTGTAAAACTGTAATGTCACATAACTTTTAAGCCGTGCTATAGCAGCCAGCCTTTTCTTTATGGTTTTTAAGTTAATGTTTTATGGCTACTTGACGGATTGCCTTGAAATTTTGCACAAACGTTCATTTCTTCTTATAGTACTGATTGGAGAGACGATTTGGTCATCCACTGACTTTGACAGGTCAAAATTTCCCTCTGTCCATTTCTTTTGTTCATGACGATTCATGCAAACCCATATGATAGTCCCATGATTAGCCTCAGGTAGCTTGTGTCCAGTGCTTATAAGATAAGCATGTTAACACGCTAAACAAAGATGGAGTATACACTAAACATTATACCTGCACATCATCTGCATGCGTTATCAATATTGATCTTTATCATGTGTTTTTGTCAAAATCCTAGACCGTATATAAAGATGGACGACACGTCTCCACTTCCTTCCACTATCCAGAAATAAAACCAAAATATCTCAGAGCACTGCCATGTATTTGGAGCCAGAGACTGCTGAGTAGCAATCGGGGGATGGAGCCAGAGTTGTGAGCTCCCGTCAATACGCGCTCCATCGATAACTAATCAGTCTCATCTGTGAATCATTCCGTTTCACCCGTTTTTAAAGCTTCACATAACTATTTAAAATCCACCTTAGCAGAAAGATTTGCACTTCACTGTGATAATAACTACCTAGAATGACAGAAACCATCTCTGAGAAAACTTTATTTAAGGTATACTCTGACTTTATTTTGGTCCATGTCCCATACTCTAACATGGATGAGGCAGGGTTTATGATCCAGATAGAGTTTGGCTTCACTTTTTGGGGATCAGTCATGTCGTCCATCTTTACAGTCTATGGTCCAAAATAGTAAAGGTAACTAAGTTCTGAGCTTAGAGAACAGAACTACCGGCCATCGTGTCCCACTGCCTGTCGTTTTTCACATAAGGTTGGTTCAGGCAATAAGCCCTGAGGACAGGATTTGGAAAATTGCTGATTCATTGACAGTGCCTGTGTTGTAGCTATGGAAACGGAGATGTGTTACCTCAGAGTGCTGCCCCTTTAATGTTCGACACGTGCAAAGCCTGATGCTCATCGTTTGAAGATGGTCAGTGGTATCGTCAGCAAATGTTTCCTAACTTGCTTCCTCTCTTCTCTGCAGCTCCTAATATTATCAGCCTCTGAAACACCAATGGATCTGCCGAAAATTCTTTGAAGAACAAAAAGCAGAGAAAGTAAAAGCAGGAAGGATAGAAACTTTTTTTTTTCTTTTGTCAGATGAAAGCTAGATATTTTCATTTTCTTAATTTGACAAATTTTTAAAGAAACTTTTATTTGGCACATTTACGATGGACGTCTCCACGCCACCTCAGATCACGGTGGCTGGGGTTGGTGTCCCGGAATGTGGGGAAGATGAGGATCAGCCAACAGACGATCATCTCATGACCCTGAAGGCCTTGACGGAGAAGCTGAGACTGGAGACCAGGAGACCTTCGTACCTGGAGTGGAAAGCCCGGCTGGAGGTGGACAGATTCAAAGAGTCGGGAACCAGGAAGAGCCAGATTCTGAAGGAACCTGAAGGGAAACTAGGTGCACCCAAGGAGGGTGCGGTGAACCCTGACGTGATTCAGTGCAAGCTGCCTTCGGGTGTTCTGAAAGGATTTGGGAATATTGACGAGGCTCTCAGTTGGCTCAGGAGAGAACTGGTGAGACATTCCTTTGCATAAACAACACACATGCGCACACACGTACATATGAATACATTTCTTTGCATGTTGAAGACAGTATGGTGGTCAAGAGCATTAATGGAAAACATAACCACAACAGAAGTGAGTGAGAATGAATGTTGACCATGAAATGAGCAGAGCTATTTCCCACAGTCAAGTGAGCTGCCGTTGAAAACCTGAACTAATCAGTCGCTGCTTAAAATGAGATGCTTTTCTATTTGAGGTGTTACGGTGTCTGTGATGGGAGCATCCAAAAAGGAAGAAGGCACCATACACTGTGGCAAGTAACTCATCATGGTCAACATCCATTCTCGCTCACTTCTGTTGTGGTTGTGTTTCCGTTGAGTGGCATTTGAATCCACGTTGTGGCATTCGTTTTTTCCATTAATGCACCTTTGTGAGACATCCTGACCAACATATCGTTGAGATTCTATTATTAAGATGTATGTTACAGGCCAGAGAAGAACCTGCGCTAACGTCCTGCTACTTAACTAATTAGACTTCCACAATCCACACAATTTCCAATTACTCCCCAGAAGAGCCCCATTCAAATGTGTGAAAGAGATTGATTGGGTCTCAGGCAGCAGCATCAGATGTTTCTTACACAAGTTTCTGCAAGTCTAATCATTTTACTCTGCTCAATTAGTCTGCACATTGGCCCATGCTTCAGAAGCTTGGACAGAGCACGCAAAGAGGCACTGGCAGAGGAAGCCGACTCATATTCACACAGTGTATGGCCGCAAACATTCTGCACAAAGACACTGGACAAGAGAGATGATTGTAATCATCTAAAATTTCTGCACATACACAGTGAAGGAAGAGAAAAAACTGAGAGGATGTTGTTTCTGGATTCCCCACTGTGAGATTTCTTTTTAGATTTTGTCAGACAATAAGGACAGAGGGCAAGGACCTCCAGGGAATCTAAAAAATGTTTGGATCGTGTTTAATGTGTTGTTGGAAAATTACCAATAATTAGAAATTAATAATAAAAAAAAGTTGTACATTAATTTGTGAACATTAAATTATGAACCCAAAAAATACCAATGTACACTGACTTGCACAAATAAAAAATAGGCACTACATATCTTTTACCCACTTAACTAAAAAATGAGTTTTGAGGATGAGTATGAATCTACAGCAGAAAAACAGGTAACATGGCTCTGTCTAAAGTTTAGAATAAAAATCGGCTTTGATAATAAAAGTTATACAAATTAGTCAATCAACTAGTTGTTACAGCTCTAGAGATGTTGGTGGTCACAGAGCAAGTTTAGTTGTTTCCTATGCTAAGCTAAGCTAACTAGCTGTAGTTTCCAAATATTTTTTGTTAATTATCAAACATCACAACAGATGTTTAAATCTTAAAAATATTAACTTGACAAAAATCTTGTAATAAGATTAAGATCTTGTTCACCTGTTATGTGACCGAATTATTAAGATCAAACCTATTTCCATGACAACTGAGCACATGAAATAATATTTTCATTTTATCATTCTAGCTAGTTTATTGACCAATCAAAGGGGGTTTGATTATGTGTTTCAGTCATTGTTCCCCCGTCCTCTCTGTCTGTTTTCTTCTGCAGACTGACATGCGTTTGCAGGACCAGCAGCTGGCGAGGCAGCTCATGCGGCTCCGCAACGACATCAACAAGCTGAAGATCGAGCAGACGTGCCACCTGCACCGTAGGATGCTCAATGACGCCACCTTCGGCCTGGAGGAGCAGGACGAGCTGTCCGACCTGCTGTTCGAGTGCCCGGTGACCCCGGGCCTGGGCCTCTCGGCCCCGCTGAGACTCATCGGCGTCACGAAGATGAACATTAATTCTCGCCGGTTCTCGCTCTGCTAGTGGCTCCTGAACACAAAACTCAATACTAGTCCGCCATGTTTGATAGTAGTGAAACTCTTAATGCAGGGCTTGATCGCATTTTTGTGGGGGTGAAGCCAGTTCTTTTAAATCAAAGAGATTTAGGGATAGAGTTTGACTTTAGTTAGTAATTATAAGTTTATGACTCTAAGCTACACGGCAGCTATATACAGCAACCTCTCTGTTTTAAAACCTTTTGGCCAGCGTGACTTTAAATACAATACCTGCAGTTTTTAAACTACATCTCAAGCTTGTTCCAGTCCATTTTTAAGCCTTATCAGTCTTACTGTTACCTGTTACTTTATATATTTCTCCATTTTTAACCATATGTTTCCTGCATATAAACTTTTATATGGTGCTTTCATTGACTATCATTTGTCCCGGATCTTAATCTAAATGTTTTGTGCTTTTAAAAAGATGCCTTATTATGGATTCAAAATGTACAATATATATATAATGCAGCATTAAGTAGTACCAATTATTTAGGGAGCTGCATAATTGTACAGAATGAAGGAAATCATATGTTCTTTATAATGATTATGATGACTAAAAAATTGCACAATAGCAACTGCAGTCATGATGGTTTCCAGTCGTTATAAATAAGGATGTCTTGCAAAATCCTGAGCTTTGCCTTTTTAATAGTTAAACTCCAGCCAGGAAGTAATAATCTATGTTGGTATTTACTGTATAATTGGATATAACATCGGACATGTGCTCATTTTCATAACAAGGACATTAAGGGGGGGGGGGCCTTGCATTTGAAATGTAAGCACATGAGAATTGAGTCAGCCGTTGTCACGCACAGACCGAGCACTAGGAAAATGAGTTTCAGGGTTTGAGATGCTCCTCCTGATCTGCTGTAATACAATCTGATCAGAGCTCTACACGTTTTCAACAACAGTACAGACAGAACAGATAAGTCTTACATCAACCTCTGATATTATGATTATGATGCCGATGTGTGTTGGTGGTATTCCAACATCAGTGTTCTCTACCAACACGACACGCTGGCCTCTGTCTCAGTTTGCTTTGTTCTGTTGACTTGATCTTGCGTTAATAATCCTATAATCTAATGGAACAAACTGTACCTTTAAACCGGTTTTGGACAAACATGATACCCTGAGTGGGTCGTTGTTAGTGCTAATTTGTTTGTACAACTGTACAGGAAATAAATAATCCATCCAAGACAGTGGATATGTTCTGCTTTTGATTCTATCAATGGATCTTTGTGTTTCGGAGGATAAATCTGTTATCAGAACACTATGTGCTAAAGTGCTCACTGAACTATGGAAAGATCTCAGAGATTATCTGCAGTCGAGTATCTTCGATCCACTGACACAGCAATCTCCAATCAGTGTTAGCATGGGACTAAAGCACCTTGAGTTACTAATGAGCTTCTTCGTGGCTTTGAGGGGTTTTGACAAAATGTCTGAACGGATTATCTTTGTCATTCTGCTCCTAAAATTTTGTTTTAGTTTCCTCTGGCATGGCAGAAACATTACTCACACATATCCAGGAATATTTTGACTTTTTGGCAAATACTGAGAGACTTTGACTAGAAGATCAATGACTGTACATTGAATATGAATATGAAACCATATACGTTTACAGTACAGGTGAGATAAGAGGAGACAAAATGAGAATTGATAAAATGAAATAAGATGAGAGATAAACTGAGATATGAGATTAGATGAGGTATGAGAAAAATGAGATATGAGGAGATAAAATATAAGATAAGATGAGAAATGAGATTGGATGAAATGAAAGGAGATTTCTGATGAGCGATGGAATATGATAATACATTATGAGATGAGATAACCCTTAATATAAGTATTTGCAAACAGAATATTACAACAGCGAAACTGTCAAAGAGAAATGAAAAGGACAATTTCCATTCTTGTTTTTTTCCACTTAGTTTTTTAACCAAACCCAGGTTTCCCTCTGTGAACAGGACACTGGCTGTAGCTTCATATCAGATATAACAGTGATGTAGATGTTATATGCTAACGCAGTGTTGAATTATACCTCTAATCTTTGAAACACGACATGAATCTGCTGTCCCACCTCCTCCCTTCAAATGAGCCTCTTGTCATTTTTGCTCCGATGCCTTTGTTCTGTCTGTGCACACTCAACAAGAAGAACCTGTGTAAACAGTTGGGCCTGGGGTCCAGTCCCACAGATTGGTGTACGTGTGAAGACATGAGCACAGGGGTCATGGGATTGTGCATGTGCGCATCAGTGTACCCCCACTCGCTGATCCCTGTGTCCCTCTCAAACCAGATAGCCTGAAGTGGCATGTAATGAATGACTTTGTTGAGCCTGAGATTTTCATGCATGAGCTCCAGCTTTATGGAGGCTTACTGCTGCTGAAAGCCGCAGCGCCTCTTGATTGAAAGGCTGCCAAAGAGGCCATCACATACATTTTGTAACAAGCTGCTGGTAATCAAGGTGGTTTTTGATTACTCTTTTTGCTGATGTGGCGACCATTATAATGAATTTAGTGCCATGAAGCGTTCCTTTTTTTTAATTCCAGAAACAGTTTGTTCCACAGAAAAGGAAAAACAAAAAGTTCTTTGTGTGGTTTGTATACTGCAGTTCTGCCAGCAACAGCTGTCCCTGGAGTTTACCGCTTTATTAATTTCATGCCCAGATCATCTCATTTGCATGACAAAATTACTTGACAGGCCTGAAATCGAGCGCTATCTCTGCTGTGGAAGCATGGAGACCATACTGTACCAGTGTCCGCAGCCCTGGAGCCAGAATGAGGTCATGATGGGGATTTAAATAAGGAGCAGCTTTAGGGTAATTCAATGCAGTGCAAGTGCTTTCCTCCTGAGATGCATTCACTGAAATGCTGTCTTTACCGTTCGTCTTCCCAACAGGTTTTTTTTCTTCTGATGTTCACAAATGTAGGTGTTATTCTGTAGCAGGAATATAACAGATGTGACACCACAGAGAGGCACTTCTCACCATGACTGAGCTGAGCTGCTCGCTCAAGCATGATTGGCTGACTGGAACCTCAGAAAGGTGAACTGGCGAGAATCCCAGACTACATCTCAGACCGCGTCTCTGTGTAGGAGTGTCTCGGTACATCACACCTCGGCAAAGATTGACTTCAAGCATGAAACTGTTAGAGAAGAAAACGCTACAGTCCAGAGAAAGATTAAATAAATAGATGCCGGAGGTTGAAAATGCAGTAATTGTAGATCTACTTAGACGACGTGATGACAAAATTCCCTCATTTCTGACACTTTGCAAAGTGAGACTTTTCCTTGACTAACATTAGTGATTTTCTGGGAAACATCTCACAAGCAATGACACATTTTTAATGGTGCGGAAATAAGAGCTGAATCAGACTGTTTTTGTTGGACGAGGAAGGTGCAGTGCAGACCCACAAGGCTTTAGTCTTGACCACACAATTACACCCCTGGAGTATTGAGGCAGATTTATAGGGTCGGAAGGAACACTTGGACCAGGTCCTGGACACATATTAAAAATATCCAGAAGCTGAAAATAACTTTTAAACCACGATGTGGAAAATTAATTTAGGGAAAAGCCCCTTGCTTGCAGATTTTGTAAGAAGCTGCACACTGTGTGTGAAGAAAAGGGGTCTTAGCCGAATTATAGGTGACTAGTTTTTAAATACTATGAGCTTTTTTAAATGTATTTAACATTTAATAATTTTTCTTAGCCATTGCCTTAAAAGGTATGAAGTTGATACTGCAAGTTTAATAGCAAATAGTTCAGTGTGTTGAGCAGACATGCAGCAGCAACATTAGCATTGCTTTGGAGTTGTTTCTGGCCGCCTGTTGAATAAGTCTGTAATTTTTATCCTTCTTTTAGCTCAGATTTTGTCTCCACCAACTCCTGAAGGTGTCTGTCTCTTCAGCTGCCTCGTGCTCCACTGTGTTCAGCTACTTGCACATCCAACAAACTGCCAACTTTAGCTTTAAAATACAGGTAGTCGTGTCATCTGCGGTTACCCCTGCCAAGGAAGTTATGTTTTTCTGAGTTTTATTTGGTGGTTAATTAGTATGGTGGTCATCCTTAATACACAAAAATATCTGAAGACTTTGGGAAAAAAAGAGAACCCAATATATTTTAATGTGAACTGCGACAAAATAATGTTTCACCCTTTAACATTGTGAGATAGGCCCAGGATATAATTGACAGATCTTGATGAAAAAAATAAGGCACATATAAAGGACTTATATCCGTGTGTGCAAATTGGTGCAGCTTGATTGAATTCAAAGGGACTGTTGGGCCCTAGTGGAGGTATGCACTCTACTAAATTCTAATTAATCTTGTAACTACTACGACTTTGGCTTTATTCCTATGAAACTCGACCGAAACTTAATTAAAAACAATCAGACAATTCTCCATTATATCGACCTATCCAACTGGAACAAGTAAAGAAATGCAAACATCTGATCTAGAGTCAGTATAGTAGGAATCAAGGGGGCTCTATTAGTAAAGATAATTGGTGACTTCATTACAAAACAGCATGGGAACTTTTAATGACTTAATTAAACCAACTGATCTATTTAATAATTATTTGCTTTGAGTGAGGCAGTGTAATGACTGGTTCTAAAATTGGATTAAGATGTCAAATTACAGGAGGCCAATTAGGACCCGTCCACACACTGTGAGAGCACACAGGTCAATTACACTGACAGCGAGTCAAAAACAATCATTTACACTCCTGAGCAGATTTTAGCGAGTCGTCTGTTAGTGAGAAAGAGTCTGTATCCTCACATGGAGATTACGGGCTTCTTGATCATCTCAACCCTTTGTTCCAGAAAGTCAGCGTCTCAGAGGCTATTTGAGCCCAGGTGTAGTGTTCTACTCTTTACATGCACTCTATACCTCCGCTTCAACCCCACAACAAACATGACACAACCCAGACAATCAGCTTTTTGATTCCCCTGTGTTCTGTACTTGAGCGGGAAAAGACAAAAACAAATCGGTGGATCTGAGATGAAATGGTTTAAACGCCTGGTGAGTGGCTTCGCAGTGGAATGTTTTCCACTCCGGCTGTCCTGCCAGCTTCTTCTCCCTCAGACTCACAAAACTAATCCCCCGATTTTGAGGGTAATTAAGCAACATCCAGCGTGACCGCTTTGATGAAACTCAGGCTAAAGTTCCACAGCAGCTTAGGTGCATCCAAGCAAATGATCAGTCAAAGGGGATCATACTCAAGATTTTAAAATCTTCACCTCGAGTCAATTTTGCTGTATGAGTCAAACTGGATTGAACATCAAACTGCTAATACAGCATCCAGGTGTAAATGATAATAATAACCATGTATTGTCCTTAGACATGCTTGCAATCAAACAACACACAAGCAGTGTTAAGTATGTTATTTAATAACTATGATTCGCTCAACAACTGGAGGTACAGTTCATAATGAGCTGTCTGTATGTGACAGACAGTTGGCAACAGTACTGCAGTGTAAAGGCACGAGGACAGATGTGATGTTACACAAAACAAGATGACCTGCATGAAGAACAAATATGTAAAATCAAAAAGTTACATCAGCCATCAGCTAACTGGCTTTGTCGAATACCGTCCCCACTCAGTCACGAGACTGAATGAATTTGTCTTTACAGCATTTCCTTGGTCAGTTTCATTAAGGCAAATTTATATAAATGAGTAAACACTGATAACAAATAATAGTGTAAAACAAAAGGTACACAAATCTTATTGAAAAAAAATTATATATATATATATTTATATAGCAAAATGTTACACTCTCACAGCAAACGCAGAAATGTGAAATCTCAACAAAAACCAACGTTCTTCAAATGCATGAAGCTGATTGACTTATCGTAATATGAAAGCACAAAACCAGTTCAGCTTCACTCGAACACATTTACACAGTCCTCAGATGGATGCTCCAGTGTCTTTGAAGGGATTCAAAACAGAAATGTTCCCAAAGACTCCGGAGGTTTTCGCTACATTGCTGACAGCAGTGGCAGATACTGCCAATAAAAGGAGTACAAAAATCTTAATTTTTTTAAAACACACCAGCGGTTGCGTGAGAGTCCCTCTGAAATGCAAAAATAGCGAAGTGACTGAATGTCATCTACAGGGTCTGCATAAGTGCGTTTGATGACTTCATGTGTTTGTGGTAATAAGTCGAGGTTTTCCTTGAGTGCTTCAGGATTATGGAACATCCT